CCTAATCATTTTAGTTGCCCTTTTCTGAACCCTTTCCAAGGCCAAAATATCTTTTTTGAGGTGAGGAGACCACATCTGTACACAGTATTCAAGATGTGGGCGTACCATAGTTTTATACAGGGGCAGTAAGATATTCTGGGTCTTATTTTCTATCCCTTTCCTAATAATTCCTAGCATCCTATTTGCCTTTTTGACCGCCGCAGCACACTGTGTGGAAGTTTTCAGAGAACTGTCCACGATAACTCCAAGATCTCTTTCCTGATTTGTCGTAGGCAAATTAGCCCCCATCATACTGTACGTAGAGTTGGGGTTATTTTTCCCAAAGTGCATTACTTTACACAAGCGCAACAAAAAAGCGATGTGCTTTCTTGAAAGAGAACGTCCATATTGATTGGACGCTATCTCGTATTTAAGTTGCGATTACTTGGCAATTACTTGTCGATGGAGTGGCCACCAGGGCACCCGTACTTTTTCCTGGAGGCCTCTTCTTTTGAAAGAACTTCCTCTTCGGCGTCCACGCATGCCTTTTTCCAAAAAAGCTTTTTCCAAAAAAGGCTTCTTCCTCGTAGAATGAGGTTTGCCGCCGTCGGAAAAACCCCTCCGTTCTTTTGACTTTCTGTCAAAAGAACTCAATGGCAGTGTGGACGCAAGTATTGTTTTTCTGGAAAAACATTGCAGGGTAGACTCACCCTGAGGGAGACACCCAGCCTGGCAAATTTTAGCCCTCGCCCCGCCTTAAAGTTTGGCAAAGTTATCAGCAATGGAAAACAGGGGCTTATAATGGAAAGTATCAGGCGCCATTACTTATAGGTGGTGCTAAGAGCTGTACAGATAATGCAATAACAGACCCCCCTACTCCCCCAAAAAAGATCCCATCATGTTTCATTGCTCTGAATAAAGTGCTGTCTTCCATCTCTGCTGAAAAGCATCCGCCTCTGGCGTGAAACACAGGAAAAGAAGCAAAACAGGATTGTTCTCCTTGGGCGCTCAGATGGAATCATAGAAATGTAGGATGGGAAGGGACCATGAAAGGTCAGCTAGTCTAGTCCCCTGCACTGAGGCAGAGTTGTGTCTTACCTGGCACAGGATTTCTCATTCTTTTTGGTACTTTGGACTAGCTTGCTACCTACCTAAACTGTGTCAGGGAGATCACAGGGGCTGGCAGCAGTTTACAGACTGGTCATTGGGACACACGGATGTAGACCATCCCTGACAGGTGTTTGTTTAACCTGTTCTTAAAAAACCTCCAATTCCTCTAGGTAATTTGTAGTTTAGGGAGTTTTTCCTGACTTAACCCTCACTGCAATTTCAGCCCATTACTTGTTGTCCTGTCCTCAGTGGCAAAGGAGAACAATTAATCACCATCCGCTTTATAACAACCTTTGATATAACTGAAGACTGTTATCACGTTCCCCCCTCCGTCTTCTCTTCTCCAGACTCAACAAACCCAGGCTACGTCTACACTGGCATGATTTTCCGAAAATGCTTTTAACGGAAAAGTTTTCTGTTAAAAGCATTTTCGGAAAAATCGTGGCTAGATTGGCAGGATGCTTTTCCACAAAAACACTTTTTGCGGAAAAGCATCTGTGGCCAATCTAGACACAGTTTTCCGCAAAAAAGCCCTGATTGCCATTTTCGCAATCGGGGCTTTTTTGAGGAAAACAGTACTGTGCTGTTTACACTGGCCCTCTTGCGCAAATGATTTGCACAAGAGGGCTTTTGCCCAAACGGCAGCAGCACAGTATTTCCGCAAGAACACTGACGATCTTACATGAGATCGTCAGTGTTCTTGCAGAAATTCAAACGGCCAGTGTAGACAGCTGGCAAGTTTTTCCGGAAAATCAGATGATTTTGCGGAAAACCTTGCCAGTCTAGACACAGCCCCAGTGTTTTCAACTTTCCCTCACTGGTCAGCTTTTCTAGGCCTCTCACGATCAGTTTCACACGTGCAGAATAGGAAGCGACTGTCTAGGAGGGAGTACTGCAGAAAGCGATTTCGGGGTCATAGTGGACCACAAGCAAAATATGGGTCAACAGTGTGATGCTCTTGAAAGAAAAGCAAACATGATTCTGGGCTGCATTAACAGGAGTGTTGTGAGCAAGACACGAGAAGTCATTCTTCCGCTCTGCTCTGTGCTAATTTGGCCTCAGTTGGAGTTTTGTGTCCAGTTCTGGGCATCCCCTTTCAAGAAAGAGGTGGAAAAATTGGAGAGGGTCCAGAGAGGAGCACCAAGAATGATTAAAGGTCTAGAGAACATGAGCTATGAGGGAAGACTGAAAGAACTGGGCTTGTTTAGTTTGGAAAGGAGAAGACTGAGAGGGGGACATGAGAGCGTATCCAAAAGGGTGTCACAAGGAGGAGGGAGAAAATGATTCTCTTTGGCCTCTGGTGATAGGACAAGAAGCAATGGGCTTAAACTGCAGCAAGGGAGGTTTAGGTTGGACATTAGGAAAAACTTCCTAAATGTCAGTGGTTAAGCGCTGGAATAAATTGCCTAGGGAGGTTGTGGAATCTCCATCACTGGAGAGATTTAAGAGCAGGTTTGACAGACGCCTGTCAGGGATGGTCTAGAGACAGTGCTGGGTCCTGCCATAGGGGCAGGGGACTGGACTCGATGACCTCTCGAGGGCCCTTCCAGTCCTAGTGTTCTATGATTCCATGATTAAGAACATAAAAACAGCCAGACTGGGGTCAGACCAAAGGTCCACCCAGCCCAGATCCACTGCCGACAGGTCCACTGCCGACAGTGGCCAATCCCAGATGCCCCAGAGGGAGGGAACACAGCAGGGAAATGTTGTTGCTCTCTTGTGGACTTTCTCCAGTTTGTCCCACATCCTTCCCCAAGTGCGGTGTCCCAAACTGGACACAATACAGGCAGTCCCCGGGTTACGTACAAGATAGGGACTGTAGGTTTGTTCTTAAGTTGAATCTGTATGTAAGTCAGAACTGGCGTCCAGATTCAGCCACTGCTGAAACTGATCAGTTTCAACAGCGGCTGAATCTGGACGCCAGTTCCGACTTACATGCAGATTCAACTTAAGAACCCCAGGCTCCGCGGCTTTGCTCTGCTTTGCTCCCCGTCCCCCTGGTCTGCAGCCCAGGGGGACGGGGAGCAAAGCGGCGGAACACGCGGGCAGGGGACAGCCCAGACGCGCCTCGGCTGTCAGCTGCCCGCGTGCTCCGCCGCTTTGCTTCCTCTCCCTGGTCTGCTGGAGACCAGGGAGAGGGAGGGCCCCGTTCGTAACTGCGGATCCGACATAAGTCGGATCCGCGTAACTCGGGGACTGCCTGTACTCCAGCTGAGGCTGCATCAATGCGGAGCAGAGCGACGGAATTACATGTCTTGCTTCCAGCTTGGCTGCTAATACAGCTCAGAAAAAGGTTTTGTTTTGTTTGTTTGTTTGTTTGTTTGCAACAGTGTTATATTGTTGACTCCGATTTACTTTGGGTACGTCTACAGAGCTACAGACGCTCCACTGCCACTTTTTCGAAATAGCTTCTCCACCAGAAGGGGCAGATGAGGATTTTGCGGGGCCCAGGGCAGCACAATTTTGCACGGCCCCCCTTTGACACGGTGATGAAGACATGGGGCTTCTTGAAGCGCGGGGCCGGGGTGGCCGCCCCGCTTGCCTGCCCTATATCCGCCCCTGTCCACCAGGCTATTTGAAATAATTACTCCCCAGTGCTTCCTGGGTCTCTAAATCAAGGTAACGTGTCCACATTAGGGGAGCCTCCCTCCGTCTAATTTCCAGGCTTCCCTGTAGTGTAGACGCACTATTTCGAAATAAGCTATTTCGGAGTATTTATTCCGGAATAGTTTATTCTGAAATCATCATGCAATGTAGACATAGCCTTTGTGACCTGTTAGAAGCCCCAGATCCATTTCTGCAATGCTCCTTCCTAGGCAGGCATTTCCCTTGTTATATTTGTACAGTTACTTAGTCCTTCCTAAGTGGAATAGTTTGCATTTGTCTGTATTGAATTTCATCCTCTTTATTTTAGACCACTCCTCCAACTTGTCCGGATCATTTTGCCTTCTAATCCTGGCTTCCAAAGCCCTTGCAATAGCTGGGTATTTTGTCCATCAGGGTGCTTTCTGGGCCATTATCCAAATCATTTATGGAGACACTGAACAGAACCAGACCCAGATGATAACCCCTCAATCTCTCCTTCCAGCTTAGTTGTGAACCGCTGATAACTATTCTCTGAGTGCAGAAGGATGAATGTAGTTACCTAAATTGATAGATCCTTTGGGCTAACTCCTCTTGGCGTGCAAAAAGGGCAGTGGGGTTTTTATTAATCACAGATATTCAGGATCCTGGATTCTTTTTTAATCTTATCTAGAAGATCACACCGAACCGTTACATAAGAATGGCCATACCAGGTCAGACCAAAGGTCCATCTAGTCTTCCGACAGTGGCCAATGCTAGGTGCTCCCAGAGGGAATGAACAGAAGAGGGAATAATCAAGCGATCCCAACGCTGTCACCCACTCCCAACCTCTGACAAGTTAGGGACACTATCCCTGCCCAGCCCTGACAAGCTAGGGACACTATCCCTGCCCAGCCTGGCTGATAGACATCGATGGGCCTATCCTCCATGAATTTATCTAGCTCTTTTTTGAATGCTGTTAAATCCCTGGTCTTCACCACATCCTCTGGCGAGGAGTTCCACAGGTTGACTATGAGTTGCATGAAGGAAAACTTCCTTTTCTTTGTTTCAAGCTTTGTCTGTAGACAGACAGTGTAGCTCAGCATGCAAGAGGATGCAGGGCATTGTTTCAAGCTTTGTCTGTAGACAGACGCCAGTGTAGCTCAGCATGAAAGAGGATGCAGGGCGGACCCCTCACCAGAAAATCACATGAACACACGGCTGCTTGTCCTAAGCGAAGAACAATGAGCAAAGCTATGGAGATAGAATGGGAAGCCACCATGCTGGAATGTTATGGGATCCCGTCCCGGTCTGGGAATGCTGATGGAAACCTGCTCTCTGACACCTAGGCATCGGCTGCTGTTGACCAGAAAAGTGTGGAAATTCACGGCTCCTGCAAGGAAATTTCAGCCGGAAGTCAAGTCTGGGGTCTTCCTGGTGGCCTCCATAGACTGGAGCGGCCACGGGTAAAGGGTGAGTTATAAAACCCAGATGCTTGCGAATGGAACATGAGGGCGTGGGCAGCCGGAGGGAGGATCCGTTCCTGGTGGCAGGACGGAGCGTGCCGGCAGCAACCTGGAGGAAACGACCAGGGGGCGTGGAGTGGGACTGGCCAATCAAACAACACGTTCCTGGCGGTTCCCACCCATCCCTCCTCGAGAGGGACCAGCAGGCCGTGCCCTAGATGCTTGTGTGCACTGTGGTCCCCAACCAATGCCAGGGCCCCTTTACTCTGCGCCCACACAGCATGAGGCCTTGGGGACCAGGAAGGACACGTGGAGGTGCCCTGCATTGTGGTAAAGGCAGATTCCTCTGGGTAAAGCAGGGGACCCGCCCAGCCGCCGACCCTCTGGGGTTTTATAGCCTGGAAGGATTTCTCTTCCTGCACAAGAAAACTCGGCCGGGTGTCAAAGCACAAAACGCAGCTTTACTCTGCGCCCACACAGCATGAGGCCTTGGGGACCAGGAAGGACACGTGGAGGTGCCCTGCATTGTGGTAAAGGCAGATTCCTCTGGGTAAAGCAGGGGACCCGCCCAGCCGCCGACCCTCTGGGGTTTTATAGCCTGGAAGGATTTCTCTTCCTGCACAAGAAAACTCGGCCGGGTGTCAAAGCACAAAACGCAGCATCCCCTCCCCCCCCCCGCCACAAAAAGAAGGGCACAAGGGGGAGGGAAG